TACGATCTTCCAACTAAAATTCTTTCTGCCTCAGCCTCCCAAGTACTGGGATTATAGTGTGCTCCACCACACCTAGCCTCGCAATTGTTTTTAATGTGAGAAATAATTAAAATAAAAACAAGATATAATGACTAGAAGTGGTGGCACAAGCCTATAACCCCAGCACTGGCAAGGCTGAGGCAGGAGGATCAAGTTCAAGGCCACAAAGTGAGTTCAAGACCGGCCTGAACTCCATGGTGAAACCCTGTCTCAGGTACCAAAAAAAAAAAAAGAAAAAAGAAAAACAGGAACAAGATATTAATGGGCCTTACAGTGAATCATATGAGTCCTTTAAATTCCCATACACAGGCTGAAATATCCATGGTTTCTTTTTAAGTAATTTAAAGACCAAAACAGAAATCAGATCACAGAAGAGGGAAATGGATCTTTTCCAAATGTGAAGGCAGCCGGACATGCAGGTGCACACCTGTAATCCCAGCAATGGGAAGCTGCAGCTGGAGCACTGCAGTTTGGAGGTCAGCCTGGGCTACATATGGGCATTCAAGGCCAGCCCTGAACTATGCAGTGAGACCCTACCTCAAAAAAAAGGAAAAAAAAAAAGTGAAGGGGACCAAGAGTTGGAGCGAGGGAGGAGCAGAAGGGTGGAGGAGAGGTTAAAAAAAAAAAAAGGACGCATTCCTTCCTGCCAGCTTGAACCACTACTGGTCCATACATGACTGTTTCATCAGGCAACTTTTTATTAATTATTAGCAAAAAGATCAATTAATGTGATTAGATCCGTTCATACCACCAGTGGTACAAGCTGCCAGACGGACAGTCATGCATGGAGCAGCACCGTTTCAAGCCAGTGGGAACGTTAACACGCTCCCATCAGAGCCACCTGGCACTGAGACAGGGCTCACAGCCCCACGTGAACGTGGTAAGAAGTGTTAAGTCACTGTACCAACTCCCCATGATGAATGTCACCACTGTGCACTGCAAACAGGTACTACTACTAAGAAATGTTTAAATGTTAAAAAAAACAATTAAGTTCCCTACATACCATGGCTTAGACATATATTAAGAAAATGCTGTGATGTGATATTTGATTACTAACACAGCTCAGAGTCCAGATTTGGGAGCCCAGCAATACATGGAAGGTCAGCACCAAAAATAAGATTCTATTATACTTAACGCCAAAGGCTGATTTTTGCATTGTTTTATTTGGTGTTACTAGGGACTGACTAGTTCCTGCTAGGTTGGCCAGGCTAGCAGCGAACGCACAACCCAGCAGGGTGCCCTCCACCCTACACACAGGATTACAGGCCCACCCTACCACACTCCGGCTGCGCTCAAGCGTTCACTCAGCATTCACTCACTGGTGAGCACAGTGTCGGGGCTGAACCCAAGGCTTTTATCCTGTGCCACACCTTCAGCCCCCTCCTTCTGAGACAGCATGTCCGAAAGTCACAAATATGCCTAGGCTGGGCAGAAACTTGTTATCATCCTGCCTCGAGTTATTCATGCTTTTTAATTGTAGAAAACGGTCTCAAAAAAAATTTTTAAAGTGCATTCATAAGTTGATGCTTAAAAGATTAATTTTTAAAGTAGACACTAATATCCACCCACCTCTGACCTAGACAAGGTCAGGAAATTCTAAACTGCACTTGACTTCAGCCTCCAAATACAAAACAAACAAACAAACAAAAAAAAATACAAAACAAATCCATATGGATACAGCAACATAAACAGCTGCCAGGAAGGGAATCCTAAGCTACTGAACGATGGCTTTGTTTTTCCCAGGGTAAGGATTACAATGGAGAGATAAACAGGAATATAGTACTTAGATCTTGCTAACTTGCTGCTCCAATAGAGTGGTCACCTTTTAATAATTAGAAACATAAGATCTTCTAAGGTTACAAATTTTTTCATCTGCTTTCTGTTCTGTGTTGACAGTTTTAGTACTTAGGATAGAAAGAGGAAAAAAGATCTTACAATAATTAGACCTTCAAGTTCGGAAGTTTTTTACTTACACAAGGTTAGTAGAAGAATCAGGTTCATAGAGAAATAAAGTAGAAGAGTGGTCAGCAGGGCAGGTGGGAGAAGACAATGAATTTGTTTAATGGGTACAGACTCCAGCTTGAGGTGGTGATTACAAAGTTCTGGGGGAGCTGGGGATTTAGCTCAGTGGCACAGCACCTGCTTGGCAAGCGCGAGGTTGTGAGTTCGATTCCCGGTACTGGGGAAAGGGGGAAAAAAAAAGTTCTGGGGATAGGCAATAAATATGGATGCACAATGTGTATGTTCTTAGAACTAGGCAGGTGTGGTGCACACACCTATAATCCCAGTACTCTGGGACGCTGAAGCAGGAAGGTCATAAATTTAAGCTCAGTCTGGGCAATTCAGAAAGACTTTGTCTCAAAAGTAAAAATTTGGGGGGCTGAGGATGTAGCTTAATGGTAGATCACTTGCCTACTATGTGCAAGGTCCTACGTTCAATCCCTAGCACCATGCAAAAAAAAAAAAAAAAAAAAACTAAAAATTTTAAGAAGTAGGGCATGGTGACACATACCTATAATCCCAGAACTAGGGCAGCTGCATCAGGTGCATCATGAGTTTAAGACCAGCTGGGGCTATATGAGTTCAAAGCCTGGCTGAACTACACATAAAAAGACCTGTCTCAAAAAAACAAAAGCAAAAAATAAATATAGCCTATCTACCAGGGACTGGTACATAGAAAAAAACTGATGCGCATTTTCTCCATTTCTTTGAGCCACTATACTGATACAGCAGTTTAGCAATTACCATCTTTTAAAGGTCAAGACTCCTTTCTTTGACCAAAAAAACATCAGTCCTTAAAATTTGAGACAGGGTCTCAGTATACAGTCCAGGCTGGCCTTGAACTCAGTATATAGCCTACACTAGCCTCAAACTCTTGGTGATCCTCCTGCCTCAGCCTCCCAGAGTGCTGGAATTACAGGTGTGCACCACCATGCCCAGCTAGATAGAGAATCTTACCATCTACAGTAAGGCAGTATTTTTTAATGAGGTCTCAAAAAATGACAATGGATTTTCATTTCAAAAAGATTAGACTTAGGAGCCAGGCATAGTGGCCCACGCTTGTAATCCCAGCTACTCTACAAGAGGTTTAAGGCCAGCCTGAACAACTTCGTGGGACCTTGTCTCAAGCTAGAACAGTGAGGTATAGCTCAGCGTACCCTGGATTCAATCCCCAATACACTCCCAACACATAATTGTGCACGCATTCATGTACACACACACAACTTAACCTTACAACAAAAATACCAGGATTTCATGACTGGCCCTGTAACGTCACTAAGGTCCGTTAACTGCAGTGATTACATGGTAAGTCTAATTGAGAGAAAACAGTCTATAACTGCATTTTTCCCTATAAATGTGCAAACACTAAAAACGTTCTCCTCAGGCTGTGTGCCAACTCAATTTGTAAGAGCCAAGACTTAGAAATGTGAAATTCTCCCACACCTACTTCGAGACACCCAATGATCTTTCTACATACTCATGATCCTATATTTAGTAATTAAGCCAAGTGACAAGAAAGTTGCTAAGTCAAGTGAAAAAAAGCGTATGTCATGATTCAGAAGTTATATACCAAGAGATGCTGAGCACTGGCTCACAAAAGCCAGATCTGCAGCAGCCAGAAAACCAACTTGCGGAGACAGTCGCTATGAAACAGCCCGGGGGCGGGGGCAGGGGGTTGTGGTGGAAAATGTACTAAAATGAGCACAGTCCATATGGAAGTACAACATCTGACCGTGTGGCCAGGCGTGGTGCTGCACACCTGCCATCTCAGGGCTCGGGAGGATGAGGCAAGAGGATCACTGTGAGTTTGAGGTGAGCCTGGGCTATACTGTGAGTTCAAGGTCAGCCTGATCTTGTCTCAAAAATAAAAACTGGTGACTCAGACATAATGAATTCATTAAGAACACAAATGTTTATGTCTCAAGTTTGGGTAAGCAAGACAGACAAGAGTATTTAAGAAAAAATTTTAAAGCTGATACCACCAATGAAAATGTTCAAGATGCTTACTTACACAGTTGTGTGTTTTTGCCTTATTTTGCACTGCTAGGGCTCAAACCCAGAGCCTCACGCATGCTATATCCTCAGCCCCAGTTGTATGTTTACAGAAGATCGATACTATAATCTAAAATATCAATACCGTCTTGGAAGCAGTTCAGTTACCCACTCAGTGACACTGTGATGATTTTAACCATTTTAGCATCAGTGTACTCTAACGGATGGCCGGCTGATGGCGCACAGTCTGATAAATTATCTGTACATACAGTAACAATGGCTGGAAACTGTACTAACTGTGGTAACTATTCAAGACAAACCTACATGAAGTTGAAAATAATTATAAATTAATATCTTGGCCCATTACACTTTGACTCACCTAATTTGCTGAGCTCTTTATTCACTACCCATTACATGAAATTACATGAACTAATAAAATTAAAGGGTACAGGTCAATACTGACGAGTCAGAACTTTTTATCTATATGAGCTCTGACAAGACCTGGGAAAGATGATCAATGCTCTCTCACAATTAGTGAGCTCAGGCTGTCATTTAGTAGTGCTGTACATACTAAAACTGGTACCAGCAGTCTCTTAAGTGTTTTAGTGATTTGGGAAAATCCAAGACTCTGTGACAAGGTGTGTCCAGGACATCTATGCTGTACGTTTTTAATTCAAAACATTACAACCTTGGAATATACTATATTCACTTATATTTTTAAAGAGGTAATTTCTTCAAAATAACAAATCTAAAAGCAAACAAAAAAACGAACACAACAGATCCTATTTTTGCTTAATTCTATCAAATAGGTACAGAATAAATTAAAAGGAAAAAAATCATCTGAGAAACCTATATAAGCCTATGTAAAAATAATTCCAAATTACTTTCAGAGGGGGAAAAGGCCTAACTAGCAATTATAAATAAATTAATGAAAACAGGGAATGAAAAAAAGAAATGACAAAACCAACCCCTCCTCGCTGACCATCTACATGTATGGAACGGATGTGATCTGCCAGATCTGGGCTAGAGTTGAAGCAAGCCTGGCACTGGTCCCAACAACAATTATAGGCAATATTTTTGCTTGAAGAAGTAGTGCTTCCTTGTCCATTCATCATGGCTGGAGTTGAACGCCCACTGGAAATTGTGCTGTCTACATCCATTATAGTACTGCTTATGCTACAAAAGAAGAAAAAAGGCTGTGTTATTCCTAGAAATTCACTAACATGAATATGATCTAAGAAATACTTAGTTAAGATTACCATGACATCCTGCCCTATACGGATAAAGCATACTAACCATATACTCTCTTAGAAAACAGCAATATTGCAAAACTTTGAAATTATTTAGTTGGCAATAAGGTGCAAACCAAGGCAGAAACAACAGTACCTGGAAACCAGACATGGGATAATTTAAGCAATTTCTGGCACAAAAGAACTGCCCACGGCCCAACAGTAGGGCCTACAGAAAGCAAACCCAACAAGCATCTCCCCGTTGATCACGTCCAATCTCACAGTGCTCAGACGCACAAGAAAGTAACACCTTCCAGCCATAAAGAATTCAGAATCAAAGCATTGTCTTCACAGTTCTACAAATCACTTGTTGACCTCAAATCTTTTCTTCTACTAATTTGAAGAGAGAATTGCTACTTCATTCTATTTCTTTTCATCTCAGGAAAAAAAAAAAAAAAAAAAAAAAAAATTTGCACTGTTTTCCCTTCTAAAAAAAAAAAAAAGCCAGGGACTGGGAGTGCAAACTCAGTACTAATGTGTTTACCTAGTATGTGTAAAGCCCCAGGGGCTCAATACCCCAGTACAGTCAGTCTTTGATTTTACCAAAACCCAAGTAAGTACTTTCTGGCCTTCACTGTTTCCCCACTGTACTGGGACTAGACCCCAGGGAGCACTACACATCCACAGCTTTTTTAGGGAGGCGGAGCGAGTCACAGTACGTTGCTAAATTAACCGGGCTGGCCTTGAACATTTGATCTTCCTATCTCAGCCTCTCAAGTAGCTGGGATTACAAGCATGCAGCACTACACCCAAGGTTTGGGGAGTTTTTCTTGCAGGGGGGTGGGTAACTTGGAATTGGACCCAATGGTGCTCAACCACTGAGCTATTTGCCCTCTTCTTTCTTACAATTATTTTGAGACAGAGTCTCACTAAAGAGCCAGTGGGACCCGAATTTATAATCCTCCTGCCTCAGCTTCCCTAAATGCTAGGATTATAGGTGTGCATCAGCAAACATGGCGGTGGGGGGGGGGGGTGCTCAGTGCCCAAGTTAGCCTCTATCAAACAATTTTTAACTAATCCCTATCCAACAAAAAGTTTGTTTAGTGAAGTTTTTTTAAATGGTATTTTCTAAATATTACATTAATTGTTTTACTTATTAAGAAATTACATACTAATAGTGATCAAAATATTCAAAATTTCTCATCTTAAATACTATACCTTTTTGCCTTTTCTTAAGCATCTTTTTTCTGTATCTTCCCAACAGATAAACACATGAGAACTGCTTAATGACACAAGGGTGAAACAGAATGTTTTCAAACTAAAACCACTGAAGCTATGCATTTGCTTGCAACTAAAAAATACCAATAGTCAAGTCATAGTTGCATACACCTGTAATCATAGCTGCTCCATAGGCTGGTGGAGGAGACTGTTAAGTCTGAGGCCAATCTGGGTAACTTGTACCCTGTCTCAAAATAAAAATAAAGGTCTGAAGAGAAGAGAAAGAGAAAAACAAAAACAAAAACCAAAAAGGGGGTGATTATCAGTAGTTAATTTTTTCAGGGGTCACCCAGGCTGGTCTGAACACCTAAGCTCAGGTGACCTCAGCCTCCTAAGTGCTGGGAAAATAGCACAAGGCATAGCACTCAGCTTTATGTTAACTTGTAAGGGGTACATCCATCCCAACTTTTTTTATAGAAACTTCCAGAGATCATGGGTATTTATATCTTAATGCTCTGCCCTATTGGCTACATGCAATCTGTTTTTCTGAATCTGAAAGTTGCAAACATAATACTTTGGCCGCAATTATTTTCAGTACCTGCTCTGTAGAAATAAAAACATTCACCTATTTACCAATGCAATCTTATTCATTCACACCTAAGAATATTAACAACATAAATTTTGTCAGCGTATTAAGTTTTATGACGATTTGGATCTAATGCCTAGTGGGCCTACTTTTCAAATTTAACAAAAACTGTTTTAGTAGAATGCTTCAGATGAGAAGAAGATTTCACTGAAAGAACAGTCTAGTACAGTTCTAAAGTTCATCTGACTAGTCAACAGAGCTTCAATAAAGCTTCAGTCTAAACTCTGTCATCTCTACAAAAGCCTCAAATGTGAATCTGCTCTGCAATATATGAATATTCACACACTGTTGCTGTACAAATAAACTGTAGGTATGGTGGTCTTTCTATGATGAAATACAAATTTTTATTTAATCTCTAGAAATCTCAAGTTTCATGAGGCACTGAACTCTGAAACTGCTGCCTTTCCCTTATCACCTGCTTTATATAAAGCATTCCGTTCCAAAGCACATGCAGTAGCTGCATAACTCACAAGAATGTCACTCCAAAGGCAAACATTAACAGTTTCAGGTGAACAATCAATCATGCCCACATTATAAGCAACCACAGGAAAAGTAATAAGCCTCAGCCCAGGAACTGTTGTGGAACAGTCTCCTAACTCCAAAGTGTAGTCAGATAACTCCAGCAGACTTAGGAATGTTCCAATCTGCGCACCCCAGAGACAGACAGATACAGCTACCCTCCGAAGTCACAGTGGACACCTGCCAGCTGGAAGGGAAGCCAAGAACAGGAAACATCTCTTCCCATAGCTACCACTGTAACCACATATCCACACTGCTTTTATTAAGAAGTCCAAAATTAGCTGAAAACAAAACCAGTATTTTTTTTGTGGGAGGGGGTACCAGGAATTGAACTCAGGACCTTATGCTTGCCAGGCAGGCGCTTATGCCACTGAGCTATACCCCCAGCACAAAACCTGGTTTTTTTTTTTAATAGGACAAAGTAAAGTAAGATCAAGAGACACCACCACAGGGGACAACCATCGCTGCAGAATCTATCTACACGATGGTCAGCATTCTCTCATTAACACAGGAGGGGAACCTTATGGAAACAGTCCAAATAACTGTGACGACTAAGCACTGTCTAGTCAGCCCGGGCATAGCATCTTCACTCAAAAGCACACTCATCAAGCGAGCATAATCCACACTTTCTCTAACACGGAGGGGCTCAGCTGCAGAGGAGGAGCGGGGTAAGGTGCAGTCCCGCATTGTAGAATACCCAATACCACCCCCCTACAACCGAGAGCCCCTGATACCCTCCCACAGCCTTGCGGGGCTAACTAAAGCCCTGCTTCCGAGCCTCTCCAATTTTTACCAAGCATCCAATAGTGAACCTCCAGGGTCCCTTTGGGCCCCAGACCCTGATGCAACCTCGATTTTCTCCACTCCTCAGGCTAATGAAGGCAACCATCCTGATGCAACCTCGGGGAGCAGGAGACAAATGCCAGGTAACTTCATTGTTTTTCTTCTCTCTTTTCTGACATAGGGTCTCCCTATGTAGGCCAGGCTGTCCTTGAACTCTCCATGTAACCCAGTCAGGCCTCACAGTAGTCCTGTAGTAGTCCTCTCCTACCTCAGCCTCCCATGTGCTGGGAGACTAGTCTTGTGCCACCTCCCTGGAACATCCCAGGCCACTTCTGATTCTGACAAGACCTCAAGCTAGGTACCGATTTCACGAAGATACCTCCTTCACCCAACGTGATGACCACAGCGACAATGCACTTGACCTCACAGTACTTCTAGGATCACGTATTTATGCAAATTTGTCAGTTAACTCTTTTCAATGAACACTTAGCTCACTGCATTAAATGTGAACACCTACGCAGCCTGGTACTCGGAAGATACTTTACACTGCACAAAGCACTCATACTACACAGAAAGTTTCAATAATCTAAGGCAGCTTTTATTTTATTTTAATGTATGTATCAACCTGTGATCTTACTAACTGCAGCCTCTGAATCAACAGGTTTGGTTGCCCCTAGGCCAGCACATTTAACAAGTACCCAGTTGCTAAGGACGCTGCTGTGACATTTTGAGCAGTGATGAAGTAAACCACATGTCCAACTTACGGGTAGCCCTGGGCAGCTACTAAAATGTACAGAACCAGGTGATTAGAAACTCTGAACATTACTGTCCATGACTTTTCTGCAGCACTTTTCATGGTCCCACAGCATGGTGCTGGAGGGGCGCGGGGCATGCAGACAGCTGACTGCTGGTGGGGCGGGTGCAGCACCGACGCCGCCTGGCCAGTCAGCCCAAGGGAAAGCCCTGCAGGCCAGGCATGGCGGCCCTGCCTATACTCTAGAGGCTGAGGCAGAGGGACAGAGACCTTAGGGCAGGCCTGGACTGCACAAGACCCTGCCTGGGGCATGAGGGAGAGCTGCATCACATTTTATGATTTGACAAGTAAAACCACTGAGTACCAATTATGATTTTCCACTTGTCGACACCACTGTGTCCCTGTGAAGACAGGACTGTACTGAGCACACAATTCCTGCTCACTCAATGCAGCCAGGCAAGCCAAACGGTTGGACACTCATGATCTAAGATCTCCTTCCCTAGAATTATTAGCCAACAGAAACTGATCACAACAGATAGATAGACAGACAGATAGATAGATAGATAGATAGATAGATAGATAAATAGGGCCGGGCGTGATGGCGCACGCCTGTAATCCCAACACTCGGGAGGCTGAGGCAGGAGGATCACCACAAACTTAAGGTCAGCCTCAGCTGGCCAAGGAACAACAGTAAGACCTTCTCTCAACCCCCAACCCCCCCAAAAAAAAATTGCAGCTGGGCATGGTGGCACACATCTGTAATCCCAGCATGCCTGTAATCCTAGCACTTGGGAGGCTGAGACAGGAGGATCGTTGCAAGTTCCAGACCAGCCTGGGCTACAAAGTGAGTTCAAGACCAGCCTGAACTGCATAGTGAGACCCTGTCTCAAAATGACCTAAATAAATAAATAAATAAATGTGTGTGTGTATGTGTGTGTGTGTGTGTATGGGGGGAGTGCGAGCATGCGCGTGCATTGGAACACTATAGAGAGACATGAGATACTCATCAACTTAACACTCCCCCTTT